GATGGAGGCGCAGGCGCTCCGGGTAGAGGACGACGAAGTTCCCGGGCCGCCTACAATATCTGGCTCTGATGCCAAGGATCACCACCCATGGCCGCGATCGGAAGCGTCGTAAAGGGGGAGACTTACGATTTCATGAAGTTCATCAGCCGTGGGAACGTGCTCGACCTCGCCGTAGGAACCATCCTCGGGGGCCTCTTCGGCAAGATAGTCTCCAGCTTCGTCGACGATCTGGTCGGTCCGGTCTTGTCGGTGATCTCCACACACTCGTTGGAAGACTCGTTCATCACCATCCGGAGAGGCGACAACGCCCCTTATCGAACCGTCGAAGAGGCTAAAAAGGACGGGGCCGTCATCGTGAGATGGGGGCCGTTCGTACAGATCATCATCAACTTCCTCATTCAAGGGTTCTGCCTATACTTCATATTGCGCCTGGTGGATGAGGCCAAGAAGGTGCCGTCGTACGTGGCCGACTGGAGTCTCACCTAGGTGTACTTGATCAAGCGGAGCAACTCTGAGTCTTCCCGCATGGCGACGAGGACGTCTTTGGGCGTGATGGTTCCGCTCTCGCTGGCCTCATTGCCTGCTAGCTCCGACAGCTCTGCAAATAAGTACTCTACCACGGCCCGGCTCTTTGTGGCGGCCGAATGCGCTTTCGATGCTTCTTTGAGCGCGTTCTCTATGAGGTCCTTCGCGTCCCCAAAGTAGTGAGACAGAGCGCGATGAAGATCGGAACGGGCCAGCTCCCGGACCAAGGGGATCGCTACCTTTGCCATCAGCTGCCTCGCCTTCGTGGAGAGTTTCAAGTAGGGATGCGTGTCGCCCTTGACCAGAACGGCGAGCTTCTCGAGCTCCGCCACGGTCGGCTCCCAGTGCGCATGAGTAGGAGCCTTTCCCCGCCCCGTGCCTTGCCTTTTCTCCCCTCCGGTGCTGCGCGCCCACCGGTTCTGGCCCGTCCCCCTCCCCGCCGGGGAACGCTTCCGTCGAGGGGGTGAAGCCCACGGTGTCCTCTGCTCTCTCTTGCTCGCGGGAACGCGCACCCACCTCTTATGGCCGGTCTTGGTCCGCTTGACCGCCCAGAACCGATTGTCGGCGCCCTTTCGCGTCGTCCCATCCGAGAACTCGCGTGCGGGTGAGGCCGGTGCGCTCCTTTTGCGCACGACACTCCCAGCCTTTGGCGTCTTGCGCTTCGCAGACTTGGCAGAAGGAGTGCGCTTCTTGGAAGACTCGCCCGTCGAGAGGGCCTTCCAGCGGTGGACACCGTGGCAGTTCGCGACCACCACGTGCATCTTGCCGTCCTGTCCCCGCATCCGGGTTCCGATCGACGCGCTGGTGGCGGACAGGGCGGGCGCTTTCCGCTCGGGGTCGTTCCTGTAGATCATGGTACGTCTCGTATTTGATAACGAACATAATATTCCACATCACGGGAGTTGTCGACGGATTGTCGACGGACTCTTCGTGGAAGTCTCCCTCATACCGCGGCATAAAACTCGGGATGCTCGCCAGATTCTCATCAGAACCACCAGAGGCCGACATGGCCGGGTCCCCTTGCGCCGCCGTCATCGAGTCGACCAAAGCGCCTTGCACCTTCAAGCCCAACCTGCCGAGCAAGTATTGCAACAAGCACAAGGTGCTGTGGGAGCGCAAGGATGAGGTCGCTGCCGCCGGCGGACGAGAGTGCAAGCAGTTAGCGACCCACGTCAAGCGGGGGTGCTTGGGGATGCTGGAAGCGGACGACAAGTCCTGCTGCAAGGCGTGCAAGAGGATGAATGCGGAGAAGGACAAGAAGGCCGACGCCAGGAAAGAGGCGGCGGCGGTGGCGAGTCTACGGCCGGGGCAGGTGGTTTGCAACAACTGCAAGGAGCCGAAGGACGCGAGCGAGTTCGACGAACACGCGTTGAGCCACGCGACCAAGGGAGCATACTGTAGAGGGTGCCGGGACAAGCGCGAGAGTGCCGAGAGGAATCGCACGATAACGGAGGCTCGTTTGAAGAGGCAGCGCGAGTACGAGAAGTCGGATGAGAGGATAGCCAGCAAGAGATTGCTGAGGGAGGCTTTTCCCGAGCGGTCGGCGCAATACTCGCGTGACGCGCGGGCTCGTTGGAAGGAAGCGGATCCGGAGGCTTATCTAAAGAAGCAAGCGGGGGCGCAATTGCGTCAGAGAAACCGCGATCTCGTCCTCACCGGTCCAAACGGAGACATCACGGGGGCGGAGTTCATCATTCAAGAGGGAGGCACGTGCTTCTATTGCGGAGATGGAGAAGACGAACATCCCTTGACCGTCGGGAAGATGGACCTGTCGGACGAGTCTCTCGACGCTCGGACATTTGTACCGCTCTGCGTCG